CGACCTTGAAAATATAAGGGTTGGGTTGGGTTGGGTTGGGTTGCAAGTCAACTTCAGTTCTATCAGGTCCCTGAACTGACCAACCCAAAAATTTGGGTTGATACAAAAAATACCCCTAACCCGACCCGTGAACACCCCTAGCGTTCAAGGTTAAACGCAACTAAAATTGGACAATACAAAAATATAAAGCAAGGTTAGTAGCAAAAGGTTTCCATCAACATTCAGGTGTGACTTCACCGAACTTTTAGTCCGATAGTGAAACGGCAAGAGTTGGCAAAATGATAGACCCATTATATCATCCAAAGAAACGAAAAATACCAATAAATCTTCTACTATTTGAACAATGCTAGATTTAGATGCTAATAATGATTGGAATTTGAGACAGCCAGATATAAACAATGCTTTTTTAGTGGATATTTAGAAGAAGCAATGTATATATTTCAACCGGAAGGTTTTGTCGGTAAGTTGAAATCTCATCATGTTTGTAAACTTAATAGAGTTTTTTATAGACTAAAGCAAGTTCCAAGAGCATGGTATGATAGACTGAAGCAAGTCTGGTTGAAATGGGGTTTTAAGAACTCCCAAGTCGATAATTTTTTTTCTTTGTGACAGCAAAGGTCAAAATCAATCTACTTATTTATGTTGATGATATATTAGTAACAGGTGATGACAAACCACTCATAGATTGGTTGTTACAGATTTGAATAGAGAGTTTTCTCTCGAGGATCTTGGTGAACTCTCATATTTTCTTGAGATTCAGGTATATAGAGATAGTATTGGATTTTACTTGAATCAAATGAAGTACATGATGGATCTTTGGACGAGTTGGAAATGTCACGTATCAAATCTTGTCCTACACCAGCTGTCACTAGAAAGAGCTTGTCAGCAAATGAGGGAAAGCCTATGGCAAATCCTATAGTGTACCGTAGTGCATTAGGAACTTTGCAGTACTTGACAAATACTAGATCTGAGATCTCCTATATCATCAACAAGTTAAGTCAATTTTTGCATAAACCTACTGCAGTTCACAAGCAAGCAGTAAAGATAGTTCTACGGTAACTAAAGGGAACTTTAACCTATGGATTATGTGTTCCCCAAATTAGATTCACTCCACAATTTTGCATTCTCAGATGCTGATTGGGCTTGTAGTGTGGATGACAGAAGGTCAATGGCAGCCCATCGTGTGTTACTTGGTAGTGCACTTGTCTCATGATCCTCAAAGAAACAGCGTGTAGTGGTACGCTCAAGCACTGAATCAAAGTATCATTCTTTTGCACATACGCAGCTAAGATTAGTTGGATTCAAGCTCTTCTTTCTGAGATCAACCAACACAACAACAAAACTCCAATAATTTGGTGCGATAACATTAGTGCTTTATCGCTTGCAGCAAATGCGGTCTTTCATTCCCGTAGTTAGCACGTGGAACTTAATGTTCATTTTGTTAGAGATACGGTTCTTACCTTCGTTATGTCCCTTCCTTGTATCAACTTACTGATCATCTTACTAATGCAGTCACAGAACAGTGGTTCACAGACTTAAAGACACAAACTCAGTGTGATACCATCACCCTCTTGTTTGAGGGGATGTTAGAACATCATCCTAAACGACTTTGTTTTTATTATAGAACTTATTTTACATTTTTGTTTATTTGTTAGTGTTTGTGGGTAGTTCGTAACTACCTCCACTTCAATTGTGGTTCAGTGTCAAAAGACCACGTTCTGTATTCAAGTTATACTTGTATTAAACTCAATTAGTGATAAATAATTGAATGAGCTTCCAGACATCTTTTACCACATTTTATTGCTCTCTTTCTTCTCTGTTAATTTGTTTGAAGTTTGATCTATTACATCATCAACATAGATCATAAACAAGATGATGGATGCACCGGGGTGATAGATGAACAGGGACGTGTCTGATTTATGGTTGGAGAAGCCCCAAGAAAGTACGGTAGATTTGAGTGTGACATTTCAGGCTCAAAGAGTCTGTTTGAGGCCATAAATTTTTTTATATAATTTGTAGGTATAATTCGGATATTTGTGATTGGTATATCCTAGAGGTTGGGATATACAGAAATCTTCATCGAACTTGCCATTAAGAAAGACATTATTAAAGTCAAGTTGTCGTAGTTGCCATCCTTTGGAGACAACTAACTAATGAATAGAAGAACGTAACAGATTGTGGGGGCCTTAACAATGAGACTGAAGATATAAAAGAAGTTGATACTGAGTGAAGATATAAAAGAAGTTGATACTGAGTGTCTAATGAAAGTTCTTGGCCACCAAACGAGCCAACGTTATGTCTTATACAAAACAAAAAATTGATCATTTGCATCCAATTACATTAATAGAATCAATAAAAACAAAGTTCCAAGTCTGATTACACATAGAGCATTATACTAAAAACCTTGATTTCCAAATGGGTGTAGCAAGAGCAACTTTAATATTTGTGGGTTATGTTCTCAAACCATCCATAGGGGTGGAGTATAATAGCACCTTATGTTTGAATATTCCTGCTATCCCTCTTATAATCATAGGGTGGGTGGACTAGTTTGTGGGGAGGTGAGGTGCGACAAATCCTCCAATCGTAGGTTGAGGTAGTTTCAGTTGCAGAAATAGAAAGAGAGAAGGTGAAGGCGATGAAGACGTGAGTTGCGGGTAAGATGCGTCAGTTGTTTGTCCTGGATACAAAGGCAAAAATAGTTGATTTTAGGGGTGGAAGACGTATGTTGGTTAGTTAAAACCATAATGGGGAATTGACGTGATGGACTGGAAACAAGGAATGGGACAGTCGGCAAAGGTTGCTGTGTTATGGGACCGTTGGCGAGGGATTATAGGTCATTGGGTGGTGGCTGGTGAGGGGACATTTGTGGGCTGGTGGGCTATGAGCTATGGGCCATAGGTAAATTGGTCGTGAGTCGTTCAAGTGTGTTGGGTGGTTGATGGTAGCGGGCTGAAGAATAGGCAAACTACTTAACCACATGTGAAGGTTTAGAGCAGTGGTTGAATGAGCTAGAAAACCATTAAACACGATGAATTTCTAGAGTCCAAAGCGAGAGGCAAAGGGATAATTGCCTTCATTTAATTGAACATGTCGGGAGATGAAGATTCATCTCGATTGACGAGCTGACGAATTATGACCCTTTGAACTAGACTTGAGCTAAATAATAAACACACACTTGTTGGTTCAAAACTGAAATTTATGAGTATGGTAAGAGCAAAAAAAGGATAGCACTCACAAGATAGCATACACACCTAAATATTCTAATTCAAAGAAGTCAAAGAGCTCGTTGTATCAATAACTTCATTGGAGGTTTACCATGGAGCAAGCGTGAAGGAATACAATTTATGATAAAAAGGTTGATGTCACGAAGGCCTCCTAGAGGCACGAAGGCTTGAGCTAGTAGATTGGTTTCAATGATATGACGATTTTTGCACTCAGCTTGACTATTTTGTCCATAAGTGTGTCAGGCACAAAAATCTAGATTGTATCTCCAATTTGATAAGCGCCAAGGTTGCTCGGGTTTACAAAGCTAGAGGTTCTTCTAGGATCCTTGCAAACATTCACAAAAACGACTAACTTACCGAATGATTCCAACCAACAGTAAGGTTAGAAGATGAATCACTCTTAGATCGGAATTAGAATCTATGATGGTCACTCTTAGATCCTAAGACGACTCACTCCAGAATTAGCTTGATCAAGACTAATCCAATGAATCGGTTTAACATCAAACCTAAAGCAAGATTTGAAAGAAGCAACACCAAATGTGTTAAGAAACAAAAGTTATTGAATTTCAATATGTTTAATCTGCCAACACAAGGTGAGTACAAGCCTTTAAATAGGCCAAATGGTCGTTCAACATAAGAACACCAAAAGTTTTTCAAAATACTACTTAATGCAAATTCTAAAAAATAAGACATGCAAATTAAAACTTGATTGCACATCATTCTAGACACTTAAATGTGGATCAGAAAACGTAGTCACGCTTCAAATGGTCTTATCTATGTGCTGTAGGAGGCGCTTCACATTTGGATGACATTTGACAAGCTTTGACTTCACAAACTCCCAAGGGGTGCAATCTGCCAAGGCAACTGTTCACAATTATGCACACATTTTTTGTCCTCCGTGCCATCTCTCAAAATAGACAACTTTTTCCGTGCCATCTTTGCTCCATTCTCATCTTGACTCATTGAAGTAACATTATGAACAAATTTGGGCTCAAAACTCTTTGTTGATTATTGTGCATTAACAAGCTTTTGAAGGTGCAGTGTGAAAGTCTCTTGAATCTTCTTGTCTTGCTTCTTGTAATTGCTCCTTTGGTACATGTAATTGGTCACAAATGGATTCGTATCACAATTGATGACATAATTGATGGACTCATTTATATTCTCCTCCATTGTCAGACTATATTACTTGAATATGACTACCAAATTGAGTCCTGATGATGAGTAATAACAGAACAAATAGTTTTAGTAGATGCTGAATATTGGCGTAAGGTTGTTTATTGTATTAGAGTGCATGAAAGAACAATGAAAGGATTGGGATTGGGGCATGCAAGAGACTTCGGATTTCTGGCTGTTGTACATTTTTCCCAATCAACAGAAAGGTACACCACACAAGTTAAATATGTGTTTACATTTATGTTATTTGTATGTTACGTACTCTCATGGCAATGAATTAGAGGTGGGTTAATGGTTTAAGTTTTTTTAGTTATAAACCTTTTCGTTTAGATTTAAAAGATATATATTTCAATAGAAATTTTTACAAATATTTTTTTTAATTTGATTGAAAGTTTTAATTTATTAAGTTTTTTGGATTAAATGATTATATTTCATATGAAAATATTATATTATTATTAATATAATATTACAAAATTACAATGACATATAATACTATAACGATATACTTTCTCTTCAGTGAAGTAATTTTAATTTCAATTATTTAAAATCAATTTGATTCCAAGGAAGAATTCAAAAGCCCAACTAAATATTAACACCAACCAAACCAACCAAACACTGGGAAATTCAGAATTAATAAACCTATTTCGTAGGGACCTAACAAACACAAAATAAACAGGGCAAAACAACCAACCAAACGCTCCTAGGCGTTCTTATCCGGTGAAAAATACTTAGCTGCTGGGAGAAGATTCCAACCCCATTCAAAATTTGAGAGATGTTTATTTGTTTGAAAAATTATTACTTTATGTGGGCACAGCGTGCAGGAGTGGGACCCACCAAAAGCTACGCAGCGTCGAGGCGCCGCCGCTTATGGCAGTGTGTCGTACAAATCTTGAATCCCGTTGATGTCGTCGTCGGCGAGATCCAGCTTCCTCATCTGGGGACTGATGGACGGAAACATAATGGCTTCCTCAACCGAGGAGTGGCCCAGCCCCAAGAGATGCCCGATCTCATGCACCGCTACCGACTCCAAGTCAATCGCCGATTCTGGAGCCGCCGTGATATTGCCGGCGGCGACCCAAATCTCGTCGGCGTCAAAGTGGAACAACCCATCCGTCGGCGCAAAAGCGTGTGCCAGCGTCCCCAACGGCCCATCGAACGGATTCTCGTCCCCATGGTCTCCGGTGAAGAACCCAATCCTGATGTCCGCCGGCGCCGACACGTTCCACCCCACCTCCGTGAAGTTGAAAGGCGCCACCGCCGCCCACCGGCCGAACGCGCGCCCCAACGCTGCCTTCGCCTCATCGATCACCTGATTATCCGGCCGGAAAGCGTAGGTGAGATTGCGGCGGTTGGCCGGCCAGCGCGGCGATCCAGGGAAGAAGGAGTAGTGAGAAACAGAGTGGAAGTAGTGAGTGGAATTAGAGGGCTCGCCGGAATTCATGGTACTGGAGCCGTTGATTATGTCGGCGCCGCCGCATCTGGGGCGCTGAATCTGGCGGAGCGTGTGGGCGTCGAGGACGCCGTGACGTGGAGGTTGAAATTCTTCTGGTAGGTGGTGACGGCGGATTCGAGAATATGGTCGAAATAATCAGTGAAATTATCACCATTGGAAATGTAGCCGAAGTGTTTGAAATAATTCTTGAGAGAGGAGAGGCCGTGGAGGCGTTGGCCGGGGCGGGCGCCTTTGAGTTTGTGGAAATGGGCCCATGGGCCTTTGGTTTTGTTCAGCTTCAGGCACGGCGGAATGGAGGAGGCGTTGGGGAATATGTGGGCCTTGGCCGAGATTAGAGACACCAGAATCAGAATCAGTAGAATGAATAAGGATTTCATTTTGTGGAGATTAAGGAAGAAAAGATGGTTTGTGGTGGGACACAAAGGTGGAGAGTGGGATGATTAAGTAGAAGGGGGACGGTGGCGGCCGCCCGGCGGCTTCTTCTATTTCCATTATTCAATTATGCATGTTGCTCCTTGCTTGCCACACTCCACTTGCATTAGCTTACAAAAATAATATATATATCCAACCTATCTATGGAGTTTGAAATTTTGGGCCTACCATTTCATCTATATTTTCACGGGACAGTTGAAAATATGACAAATATTTAGATTTAGTTTTTTTAAATATAACATTACAAAAAAAATTTTAAAATTATAACTTTACCAAAATGATATATTAAAGTAATATATCCGACCTACCTATAGAGTTTTAAATTTCAGGCAGTCATGTGCCACGGTTTCATTTATATTTTCATATGTGCTCACTTAAAGATCAACATATAAAGGGTGAATTTGTATTGACATCAACTTTTAAATGGTGAATTGATATTTTTGTTATATCCAATCACTAGTGTAGATATAAATGTTTAATAATAGTATTTTTTGATTTTTTTTTAAAAAGTGTGATATTAGTAATTTGTAATTTATTTCAAAAGTGTGAAATCTTTAAATATATTTTATAAATTTCTTGATTTTTATGATTTTTCTAAAGATATATGTTGATATTTTCATAAAATTTAGAAAACAAAATCATAGATATGTTTAGTAGTTTTACAATTAAGGTTGCGGTATTTGAAAATAGTTAACTTTATTGCTATGCTTAACTAAAGCATGCATATGACCTGTTGATGTTTGAACTTTGGTCCTCCCAGTTCTTTCCAAAATACGCACCAAACTCGATGAACAAGGGACATAATACCTACAAAATCGAGTAATCCTAAACTGATGTGACTACTGTCACACGGGCTCCGATGCCTAAGTTAACCAAGGAATAATAACTAAGCAAGCAAGTGTACTTAGCATGTGTTTTGGCTTACCTTCAATGGGTGGCTCCCGTCCTATTTATAGTTGATCTTCCTCCTAGGGTTTCACAAATCACAATCCTAAGTCATCTTACGAACGTCGGGCTCATTGGCTTATGATACATGTAGGCCTATGGACCGGGACATCTCCAGCAACAAGAAAGAAGGATGGAGGGGGCTCAGCACCAAGTAGGGATCAGAACTGAGCCTTGCTCGGCCCGACTCGACATTAGCGGGTTGCCTCTTTCGGCTCAGTACGACCCTTTGCCTGTCGTTTCCTATCTCATAACAGTTGTTCCCTACTCTCGAGGTGATGTACTTCCAGTTTTCTAGACTCATCACTTTGAGAGTACATTTGTAGGTGTGTCATGAAGAAGTTGTCATTGTTGACATCTGGTTCACACCATGTTAAATAAACCCGTGAATGATGGGTCTCATTCGTCATTGTATTGTCGCATCTCGGTCAGACCCGTGATCGAGATGGTCTCCCACCTCGGTTGCTGAGCCGAGCAATGTTGGGACCAACCTCGGCTATCGAGCCTAGCCTTATTGGTTCCCATGGAGGTGCAGTCACATCAAGTTGTGCCCCTCACATCATGGTCAGACCCGTGACCATGGTGGTCATAGGTTTTGTGGTGATTGAGTAGACCTCGGCCTAATAATAAAAAACCATCAATCCGAGCTATGCTCTTTCGCTTTTGGCGGCTATATAAACCCCCTTAACCTCCTTCACATTCTGCTCATCCCCTTCACTTCGAGGTAACCTCTCCTCTTCTCTCATTCTTTGTTGCCTGTTTGTTTCTTTGGCGTCCGGTAGTGACCTGAATTTCGAGTGGACTACCTCAGATGACGAGTCGTCATCGAACCCCTCTTCAGAATCCAGGTCCTATCGCCCTTCTTGGGTAGATAACTCCAAGCTTACAGCGAGGAACTTACGTCGCCTTCGCTTGAAATACCGCATTCCGGATTCCGTTAGTCTTCGCATCCCAAATCCCAAAGAGAGTATTGACGGATCCTACCCTGGGGAGGTCGTATTTTACGTGGCCATGCCCTTACAATTGTTCCTTCAAAATTTTCTAGCGTTCAATCAAGTAGCTCCTTCCCATATCATCCCTAATGGGTGGTTTAGGTCGATTTTTAGGGATTCAGGGAGAGGAAATCTACCTACTGATTTTAAACGTCATCAATTGAAGAAAAACACCTAAAACTCTTAAGGCCCAAATCTTCACGGCTCTCTTCCGAGTTACCCAGCAAATATTCTAGCCCAACTCCCGTTATGGTTACAACAAGCATTAAACCAATCTATAGGCACCGTAGAGTGAACCCCATTCCTAAGTATTCACTACTCTGTTTCGAAAAGAAAACAGAAACTATAGCTAACAACAGTAATTCCGCACACAGGAGCTTTCCCAAGCTTCCTATAAGCTTGCACACTAAACCTGTAGGGCAAACATGTTTAGAGCGATGGAAAATAAAACTCACTGCTATTAAATAAGAGTTCAAATGAATTCAACAGTAGCTAAACGTCTATTACAACATGTTTCAACCCCAAGAAAGGGGATTAGTTCATGATGAAACAAAAATATGAAAGTGAAAAGGTGAAAGAAGACTCCATTTTAGAAGGTACAGAGAGAAAACCCAGAGGCTTCCCTGGATGAACAGTGAAGATCCTAAGCCGAAGCAGTATCTCTCTCTCTTCCATCGTCAAGGGAGACCCCACGTCTTTTTAGAGAATGTTTCCCTGAAATCGATGCTTCCAAATTAGTTCTCCAAAACGTCCTCTCCATTTGGCTGGGGTCTCTTTTTCCTTAAATACTTGGCCTTTAATTTAGGGCACCAAAGAACCTCACGCGGATGCTGAATGGACAATGTACGGATGTTATACTGACACGGTAACAGTATGGGTGAAATCTAATTACTGCTCCAGCCTTTGCTCTATAGCTTCCAAAGCGCTAGCCCGCTTCTGACTTTAACCATTTTTGCCCTTAGCCTTCAGCAACACCACATTATTCCATTAAAGTTTAACCTGCTCCAAATGCACCATACTTTTCTCTCTGCATTAAACATCCACAATTTAGCCTTCACTAAAAATTTAATGACTCTACAAAAAATCTATGCAATGAAGGTTTTCTTTGGAATTTCTCACGTTCTTAGGGCGTAATTAGCTTGTTTCTCACATTCTTGGCACACAATTACCCTTAGCTTGACCCATAATTCACTATCTATTTGAGAGCTATCATACTGATGCCGACGGGGTAGCGAAGGCTTTTAGCCTCTGGCAAGGACTTAGGGAGTCGTCAAGTGGGTTGAATTTTGGCTACTCGAACCCTCAGCACAGCATTAATACCTGCCTTGGCAATCTCCATTAGGTCGGCTCTTGCAGTCACTTTTAGGTGTCTAATGTCGCATCTTGTCTAACGTTTGTCATTGGCTTTGGCAGGTTTTTAATCGTTTGGTCGTGTTCTCAGGCAGGGTTGCTGATGAAATTAACCATCTTCGTCGTCACTACACCCCTCAGGATGAGTTAGATCGGGCTCTTGCTTCTTTGAACAAGGTTAACAGCCTACTGAAGAATGCTCAACATGACCGGAAGCTGAGAGGAGGAGATCTCGAGATGACTTGGCCAATTTGCAGAGGAAACTCGATGAGGCCAACACTCAGCTTTCCAACTCCAAATTTCTAGCCGAGGAGTTTAAGAAGACTCAGGACTATGTCAACTTGCAGAATGCCGCCATGGAATGTGGTGTCTCCTGGCCTCTCTACCAAGTTTCCAATGAACATCCCGACATCGACTACTCCTTTCTCCAGAAGCGTTTTAGGGCTGAGTTTGATGCCCCCGGCGACATGGATGACGACGACGACGAGTAGGGAAGAAGTAGTCAAGTCGCCTGCGGTGCTTCGTGTTTTGAAAAACTGTCTGTTATGTGACTGTTGTTGTTTTTCTATTACCTTGTTGGTATTTGTTGTTGCATAAATTATCAATTATGTAATTAAGTCTCTTCAAGCATTATCACTAGCTTAAGGCTCTAACTTTGTCGGAGTTGACTTTGTCTGCTTTTAACTTTCATAGGTTTCTAACCTATTGGCTATGGCAGGCGGTTTTACACCCGTTAGTCTATCGTCGTTTGGCTTTTGGCTCCTTGTTCCACCTTGTGTTTTAACCGTGCTAGGCCGGGTGTCCCGCTTCTAGTTTGGCCCTGATCGAGATCCTCAATTGTCCTTTCCAAGTCCTGTTAATCCATATGTTATCATGCCCCCTACTTGAGGAGTACATGGAAAGAAGTGGCAATGGTTGCTCAAGTTTGTAGATAATAGAAATTTTATTGAACCAAAAAATGCAGAACCAAACAACATAACCCTAGGTTTAAAAACAAAAGAGAAAAACAAAAGACAACCTTAAAAAGTTGCATTTATCCTAAATCCTATTATTATTGGTCGATAAAGTTGCAGTGATCATCTTGAGGTAGAGGCCGTAACTCCTGTGTCATTGCCTCGTAACGAGGTGTAGTAGCATTCACGTGACACCCGCTGCTCCCCTTTGACCTCACCTATACCTCCAAATGTTGGGAACTTCATAGATTGGTGGTAGGTGGAGGGTACTGCCTTGAGCGTGTATATGGTCGGTCTCCCCAATATCGCGCTATAGGAGGATGTGTAGTCAACGACGAGGAATTCTACTATTTTAATGATGTTTCTTGGCCCACTTCCGAATGTTACTGGTAGTTCTATCCTACCTTATGGGATGACCCGTTCTCCCACAAACCCCACTAGTGGTGCAGGGCTGCTCTTAAGCACTTTTTCTCCTAAATCCAAAGCTTTATAAGCTGCATGGAGATGATGTCGGTCGAGCTACCCCCATCCACCAAGATTCGATGTATCTTTGTATTGGCTACTTTTAGGGCAATAACCAATGCGTCATTATGTGGGTGGAAGAGGTGGGCTGTCTCATCCTCTGAAAACTTGATTTCGGAGGGTTGTCTTGCGAAAAATGCATGGTAGACTTCATAATGCCCTAGGCCTACCCTAGCTTTCTGCACGCTTGCTTTCCTCTCCCTGCCAAATTCCCTCTCCATTGAACCTCC